TTCTCAGGGCCGGAAAACAGCTGGTGGGCTGTCTGTCCCTTCCAACTCTTCTCATCAGGGCACCACTCTCATGACTTTCTCACCTCCCGCACCATCACCTTGGAGTATTTCCTACCTCCCACCCCAGATGTGGAAAAGGGAAGTCCCTGAACTCTAGATCTGCCAGTGATATACCCTACTTACTGGTCTAACAAAGGTGATCATTTGGAAGATCAGAATTTTTTCTCTAATGCAAACACTATAGTGTCACCAGATTGGAGTTGTAGAAAGTTGTGGACCATTCAGAGGAAGCAAGATGTAAGGTATGTGCACATGCTAGAGGCAGGAAGAAAGATCAAGACTCAGGCAGGCTTTCTGACAAGCATCCAGCATTCAGGTGCCCCAAACTTGGGTTGCCTAGGGCTCTGGCACCAAAGCAGAACAGCCCTGTTGACTTCTTGGAAGATGGCAGAGTAACAAACAGAGGAGAAACAGCCTCTCTGAGGTTTGATGTCCAGACATTAGAATATAGCAACATGAGAAAGAGAAAAAAGATAGGAGTGGGTCTCTGGGACATATCTAAGATTTGAAGTGAGAATTGAATCCCATTGGGAGAGCAAAGAGACCCCAGTGTGGAAGAAAGAGGTGACAAGTGGTGATTTCTCTCTGGGCCTTAATTCACTGCAGGGGAAGGGTGGCCCACACCTGCAGATGTCTGGTGATGGCTATAGACCCCTGCGGTCTCCATGGAGAAATGGACCAATAGAACAGAGAAGTAGACAGAGCAGACTGTAGTGGCTGGTGAGTTATTTGGGTTCAGATGTCCCCCAAGAAGAAGGTGACTGTCTGGCAGACATCTTGGAGAGGGACAAACTGCACTCTGAACTCAGAGCAGCTGTGACTTGGCTCCATCTAGCTGCTCCCAGTGTTGAATTGGAGGAGGTCAAGAGCCAAGTCCAAGCCAGCAGGAGGCACATGGGCTGAATAGGTTCAAATCTCATAGCCAGAAATTAGCCTGAACTTCAGTGGAACTGAAGGCGCAGGCTTGCTGGGATAAATCAACTTGGATCTGAACTTTGTCTGCCCAAGTTGTCTACCAGTGACAGCAGAGACTCCTCTTGCAGTGGACTTTTTTTCTTATTTTTTCTTGTTTTTGTTTCTTGTTCTTGTTTTGCATGAATGTGAACACTGTTTCTAGTTTTTGTTGTTATTGTTCTGTTCTTGTTTTTGTCTTCCTTCTCTTTTTCCCTCTGACTTCTTAACCAGTTTCCCAAAGTTTTTGTAATCTTCCTTTGTCCTACAGCCTTGCATCTAATCTCTTCCTCTTCTTCTATATCTTTATTTCCCCCAACCCCTTTCATATTTCACCCAAAGGTAAAATCACCATAGTGAGGGCTTATTTACTGCATATAATTTTCTAGATTGTTTTATATTTTGTTGTATTTCCACAAATCTAGTTTACATGGTTAAAGGTGGAAAATTAATAGTTATCACATTTTGTCATCTTCTAGACTATGTTTGATGCTATTGTTATTGCTGATTATACTACTTTGTAAAACAGCTAACATGACAGTGACATAATTCTAATCAGTTGTCCTTCCTGATATGCCAAGATTGAGATTACCAGGATCATAAAAATACTGTAAGTCAGCACCAAATAATCAGAATCTGGGCCAAATAGGCAGCAACTTCTCATCCCCAATAAATTGCAACAGACTCCCAACAAGCCAGCTACAATTGGAAGACATCTCTGAAAAGTAGTTATTTCCTAAGGGTTCTAAATACAAGCAAGAAAATTACCTACCATAGGAAATTTACAAGCACCAACCCAGAAATTAAACTAAACAAAGAAAGACAGACAGACAGACAAGACAATGAGAAGGCACTTAAACAAGATGCAACCCCAGACTTTCAGCTCAACAGAGGCAAACCCAAGGGGCGATGACTTGGAACAATTCAAAAGCTGCCCACCTGGCCTCTTTCAAGTGGTAACATGGAAGTAACAAACCAGATAAATGAAGTTATATAATCAAATCAAATCAAATAAAATAATAATAATTATTTTTGATTTGAATCAGTGATCATACTGAAAGATATGACTCTAACACAGATACAGTTGAAAAAAGGTATCAAGCAAACAGATGTCAAATGACCTCTCACTGTTCTCCCTGTGGCTCCATCACCCTGGATCAGCTGGCCTTCTGACTTACTGAATTTGCTCCTGGCTACAGTCAGGACTGCAAGAAGAGCCCATGCCCTGAGCAGTTTCTAACAGTTTGGGGGCATTGGTCTGCCATTAACCGCCCCCTTGGAGCACACAGACACAGCGGTTTATGGAAACTGGGAGAAGCACAAGTATGGAAGAGGGTGTTGCCCAACTTGGCCTGAGGGTGGGTCATGTTGAGTCCCCCCTGGAGCAAGGCTGGGGCCACCATTCATCTCAGCATGGCAATTCTTGGAGACACAGTTAATCCTTTTTAAGCAATCCAGATTTAAATTTTTTTCTTTCTTTTTCTTTTGTTTTGTTTTTGAACTGGATCCTCACCCTGTAGTTCATGCTGGGCCTTAAATTATGTAGCCCAGGGTGCCTCACACTTGTGATCCTCTTGTCTCAGCCTCCCGAGTGCCGGAATTATAGATGTGTGTCACTCTTCCTGGCTGATCTGAGTTTTTTATTTATTTTATTTATTTAAAAGGAAAGAGAGAAAAAAAAAGCAGAACAAAACAGTGTAAGGGTACAAGTAATACACAACTACAAAAAAAAACAGTAAGCTATCACCAGTTAATAGATTACATGCTATCATCTTAGAAACAATGTTTCAGGTCACAGGATCAAAGCATACAAAGTGAACATTCAAACAGTGAGACTGCAAATAGTTGTGTTCAGTAATCCATTCAAAAATATTAATATGGTCATCTATTTAACACACCCAAACACCCTTGCTGTTGTATCCTTTAGGGCACTTTTTTTCCCTCTCTTTATTACAACAGAATTTACACATTTTGGGATTTATTGCTCCCTTAGATCTTATTACTTTTTTTGTAAGAGAATAAAATCAAGCATGATAAAACAAAGCTGTCAGTCAAAACCAAGGATAGACATAGCACATGATGTAAACACAGAGTACAAGGTTATCAACAATGGTTACCATAATGCCTCTTGCTTCCTTAAGAAGAATTGTCTATCTATTGATAAATATCTCAATGTGATCCTTCTTTATAGCTAGACAATTCTTCTTATAATATCTAATGAGATAGACAATTCTTTTTAAGGAAACAAGAGACAACGTTGATAACCATTGTTAATAACCTTGTACTCTGTTCTACATCATGTGCTATGTTTATCCTTGATTTTGACTGACAGCTTTGTTTTGCCATATTTGACTTTATTCTCTCCCCCCACAAAAAGTAATAAGAACTAAGGAGTAATAAAATCCAAAATGTGTAAATTTTGTTGTAAAAAAGAGAGGGAGGAAAAAAAAAGAGCTCTAACGGATATAACAGCAAGTGTGTTTAGGGGTGTTAAATAGCTGACGATATTAATGTTTTTGGATCATTGAACACAGCTGTTTGCAGTCTCTCTGTTTGAATGTCTACTTTGTATTCTTTGATACTGTGATGTGAGCAACTATTTCCAAGATGATAATATGTAATCTATTAATAGGTGATTTCTTACTGTTATGTTTTTTTTTTGTAGTTCTGTATTATGTGTAACCTTACACCACTTTGTTTTGTTTTGTGTTTTTCTCTTTTTCCTCTTAAATAAAATTTAAAAAAAAGAAGAATTGTCTATCTCATTAGGTATTATAAAGTTGAACAAAACAGTAGAGAACAAGACCAATAAAACCTAAGCATTGTAAATCTTACAGAACCTCAAAAGAGGATAATAGTCAAACCAGAATGGGCATCATAGTGAATCTTATTGCCTTCAAAGTAGTTGCCTATACTCTGATACTTGATACTTTCATACAGAGCAGAATAGAGTCTAATCAATCAAAACAAGATAACGGGAGTATTACAGGACTTCAAGTTAATAGGAAATCAAAAAAGTTACTATAATATATCCTGCTAGTTTTTTTGATTTTTTTCCCCTTAGTTTAAAAAAGAAATTTCTATACAATGGAGTACTACTCAGCTATAAAGAAGGATCACATTGAGGTATTTATCAATAAATGGGCGCAGCTTGAAACCATACTCATAAGTGAAATAAATCAAACTCACATCTGTGAACACCGAATAGTTTCCCTAGTGTAAGAAATGATTCAAATATATAGAAGTATGTGGTAACCATGATTTCCCACTATGTGGCCTTGAAGCCTTATAAAGTTTTCACTCATTAATTGGAATGGCTTTATTTTGGGCTATTTGATATTATGGCCTTTGATGCAATGAACAGTTATTTTGAAGAAGACATCATAATAGCTAGTGCTGATTTAATACCATCTTGTTTTGAAGCCGCACCAAACTATGGCTCTTCTGTCTCCATTGATTTTATCATGTTGTATCTTGCTGGATTTTATCATATGTGTTAGTATAAACAAAAATTGTTATAGGCAAAGAGACAATATAGAAACCATTGTTCATTTTTCTGTTAGCTGGTTCTAAATACTCTACAATGCTTTCATCCACTTGAATGGTGTTACACTGTCTTGATCTGAGTTTTTAAAGATCTGGTTATAAACACAGCCTGAAGATGCATTCCCTACAACTCACTGGTTGGCAGTGGAGTTGGTGGCCCACCTTTCTATAGGAAGGCAGCCAGCATGTGCGGTCAAGAGCAGTGTGACTAGATGGGGACCTGGAAAGCACACAAGGATGGAGGTTTGCTTCACTGACATCGGCCCATGGTTCTGTCACAGCTGGCCAGGGTGGTGTGCCAACCCAGAGGGATGGCACTTCCTGTGCAGTTATCAGGCTGGCCATGTCACAGCAGCCAGGTGGACCTTGTTCTGGAAAGCCAGGGTTGGCGTGTCTGGGTGCTGCTGCTAGGACAGGAAACTAATGCCTCTCTCTGTCCCCAGGAAGGGTACATGTGGCCTTCAAATGGTGCTGTGCTACGGCCCCAGGCCTCAGAGGTAAGAGGGGCATGGGGTAGCAGGCCCTAGGGAAGGTACCCCTGTGCATCTGAACCCCCACAGAGGACAAGCTGAGACTAACTGTGATTGCCAGAAGCTGCTGGCGTGACCAGTGGGGTACCATCCCTGCATCAGGACTAGCTCCCATCCCAGAGTCATCCCCAGTGCTTGAGAGGAGGTGCATTTGCTATTTGGTTGGAAATAGTGGCAGGATTCTGGGGCTGTCTGTGCACACACATGTGTGTGTCAGTTAACTGCAAGTCCATGTGCACTGATGTGGTCTCCTGGGAGCGACAAGGTGGTTTTGGGAGATGCTGTCTGGGCCCATGCTGGAGAACAGATTTACCAGCATAATTTGGGATACAAGACAGTTTTTAGGCTAAGGATGAAAAATAACTCCAGGAAACTTTATCCAGTATTTAATAACCGGGAATCTAGAAACCAGAAAGGAAAAAGAGCAGACCCATTTTTCTGGATTTTTCCAAAAAGCGATGAAATCATTTAGCCGCAGCGCCCCTCCCCACTTTTGAGTGCTGTAGGGGACCTGGGCATGGACTCTCCAGAGGGCCTGGGGTCCCTTCCCTGGGTAGCCCATGTGCACCCACTGTCCCCCGTTTGTATGTATCCATGTCTTCTGTCTGACCTCTGTCTCAGACTGACCCATCGCCTCTCTGCCTGTCCCTCTGTCCCCCAACTGTCTCGTCTGCGTGTAGCATCTGCCCTCATGTCCCCGTGACCCCATTCTCCTCTGTTCGTCCTCTCTCCGTCCCCTCTCCGTCCCCGTGTCCCCCGTGCCCTGTCTGTCCCTGGGTCCTGCCTGATCTTGTGTCCCCCTCTCCCATCCCTGTCTGCTTGGCCCCTTCTGTTCCCATGCACGTCTGACCCTGTCCCTGTCAATCACCACAGCTCTCCTGTCGCCCCTGCAGGCCACCATCATGCCGCGGGACCGCTTTGGCAGCCCCACGCTGGCCCCAGCCCTTTCGTACGCGCGGCCTGAGCTGGACCTGCCGCCCACCATCTCGCTGGCCGATGGCGAGGAGCCGCCGCGGTACCTGGGCGCCTGCGCGACCCGAGCAGCAGCGTGAGCCCAGCCGCCAGTCAGTGCACGCGCCACCCAACCGCACGGCGTTTGCGGGCGGCCCTGGGGCCTCGCGCCCGTGCCCGCCCAGCAGCCATGCGGGCGTCAGTGCTGGCTGCGCCCGGGGGCACAGCGGGCCGGCGGGGGGCAATGGTGGGGTTCGCGGGGCTGGGCCACCGCCGCCCTACAGCGAGGCGACGGGGACCCCAGGGAGCGCACTGGGCCAGGACCGCAAACCTGGGGGGCGCCACCTGATCCGGCCAGTATCCCTATTTCCTTCCTGGTCTGACCACACTAAAGCGAGGCGACTCCCGCCTCCCCCTCGGTGTCCTTAAAGACAGCAGCGTAGAGAGACCGTCTCGGGGAAGAGGCCCGAGAGGGTCGGGTGAGCAATAGCTCAGGCTGTAACAGGTCAGGGAACCGGGAGGCCACATGGCCACACCTCTCCGTTGGGCACACCCGCTGGTTGGACCCCGGACCCCTGTGCCCATGCTGTGCGAGGTTGCCCCTCTCTGTGTGATGCGCAGGTTGGAGCTCAGGCTCTGTGGCTGGCGGGGAGATTGGTTTCCTGGGTCCCCGGCTATGGAACCACTCCCCTGAACACAAGTGGTCGCTGTGCAGCACTTCCCTCAAACAGAGCACATCGCTGGCCAGGCCTTGGGGTGGGAGACAGGACCCCAGCACCCCCAGTTCCAGTGTCACCTTGCTGGTCTCACATGCAGGTCACTACCACTGTGCCTGGGCTCTCACACTGCTCTCATCCTCAGGCAGTGTGTTTTCTCGGTTTAACTCCTTTCCCCTGTAGCTTGGATTTTGTTCAGATGCGTACCTTTCGTAGTCACTGTTGAGATGCAAGTGGTTCTATTGAGCCGGGAGGAAGCCTATGCCTAGGATCCCAGCTGCTGGGCAGGCAGGTGGCGCAGTGGTGCTGCAGGCCAAGACGTCTGCCCTGGGGTGAGCGCTGGCGAGGCATGGGGATGTGGGTGTGAGTGCCTGGCGCTTCCTAGTGCCTCACACAGCACCACGTGGACAACCTCATCGTGGACCTGCCCCAGGGTGGGTGCTGGAAGGGGAGGGGACCAGAGGGGGCCAACTGTAGCTGAATGAGCAACTGGGCCAGAGTGGGTGCAAGTCCGGCCAGAAGCCCAACTTAACTGTGGGGTCCTCGTTTTAGTATTCCTACTGTTTCAACTGTTCATCGTTACATACAATGAAAAATAACCTCCTGCAAATGTGAGCACTGCTTTGAGGAGCAGAGCTTGCACGGGGGTTGTCAGGACCTTTCCAGGCCCACACGGGACATGGGAACCAGGTTGCTGACTTGGTCATGCAGTCAATGTAGCTTCCACCTGGTCAGCATCTACTGCTGCTTGTTTGTGTGTCTGTGTTTCTGGAGGCGACCCTTGAGGGACTCACCTAGGTCCTATGTAGCCTCATCTCTTTCCTGGTGTGTATCCTGGTAACAGGCCATAGGATGGAATCACTGTGAGATTCACCTGTGCACACACAGAAGCATCCACAACCATAGTAGACTGGTGAGACAAGGATCAGAGGGGCTATTGCTAGCTCTGGCTGAGGTACTGCTTAGCAGGGCTCTGGGTGAGGGCCGTGAGGGAAACTGAGGCTCATTTTGGTACTGCCAGGAGAGCCCTACTCTCAGAGCAGAGATAAACTTCCCCCATTCTGGATCCCCTGGGCCTCCTAGTGGGGAAGTGGCTGGGAGGTGGTCAGTGTCCCTGGCACACAGGTAAGGTCTTCACTCTGAGTCATGCTTGCAGGTAGGGGAGCAGGGGAGCTGTCCTCAGTGTTCCCATCAGTGTTCCCTGCAGAGAATGACACCTGAGACCTAGTGTGCCCTGTGACTCTGCAATCCACAAACACTTTGTGGATCCTCAGAGTATTAAAAAGAAATCATTGAATTCAAGTCCCTTAGAAAAGAAGTTCCTACCCCATTGCTTCTTAGGTCATTGGTTGTTTGAAGACACACACAGCAAGTGTGGCCTGGAAAGGTCTCTGAGGCTGGGCCTCTGTAACCAGTAGCTAGACTAGTAGTCTCCTTCCTGTTGGTAGCTTTTCTACCAGGCTGGTGTGGCCCAGCCTAGTGCCTTCTCTTCTAGTGTTACAAAAGTTGTGCTTCTGACCCAGGACTAGTTTAGAGCAGAGGTGTGGGTAGCATGACAGATGTGAGTCAAGATTACTCTACAGAGCAGGCATGTAAAGGGCTTTGTCGTTGAGAGGGGGGTGGTAGAGATGCCATGCCACTTATGCTTGATCCAAGTGTGCAGGGCTGTGACCCAGAGGCACACAGAACCCCATCAGGGGAAAACTTTTCCCAAACATGAGGCCATTCAGTGACAAGATTGTGAGAATCACATGCCTATAAAGTAGATGTTTTCTGTCCTATCAAGATAGATAAAATGTACCCCACCCTCCACCTGTGGATACACCAGCCCACAAGAGCCACTGGGCAGCAGGGGGATCCAGGAGCAGCGGGGGAATTAGCGGACTGCTGTGTGGGGCAAGAAGGCCTAGCAAGCCTTCCCCTGAGTTCCATCTCCCTAGGAATAAAGTGCTTGACCAGAAACATTTCCAGGGATGCACTGATAGGAAAAATCATCACATTTTGGCCCTCAGTATTGGCTCCCACCCAGGGGACTGCCTTAGAGTCTGTGTGAAGTGCTTACCAAAGTGTAGACACATGCTAGGGTGCTTTGAGCAGCAGGATTGACTTTCTGTACCATTCCTTGTGCCTATGTGCAGCTTTGTCCTCTTTTGTAAGGATATTTGCAAATGGATGCATATAAAGTCCATGTAGTTTATTTTCCTATTAAATGTTGATATTGTAATACAAGAGAAAGAAGTGTGAACAAGCAAGAAAGTTTATGACCAGCATCTATTCTGCAACTGAGAGTGGCTTCTTTGCTATAAAAACTCACAGCTTTTTGGTGGCCATTAAATGGCCCTTACTTTACTCATTTTAGAAATACCAAGTTGGACAGTTACATTTTAGTCAGCAAAAAGGGCTGAGTCCAGCTTTTTTCTTGCTGTGGCATAGCAAAGGCTCCAGTGAGAGGCCCGAGCTCATGTTGTTAAATCAGCAAAGCAAAGAACTCTGCAGTCTGATGACCGCTCAGCTGTGGAGCCAGAACTGGTCAGGCCAAGGCAGGATTGTGATCGTCCCTGTTGACATCCTGCTGTATTCTGGCCTGAAAACCTGCCCAGTGCTGCCAAAAGTAAGAGAGCATGCAGAATGACCCTCCCCTCCAGCTCAGCTGAGTTTCTGGTTGGGATCTCTACACTGTTCTGCAGCTATTCCAGCACTTCTCTTAAGCACAAGACACCCCCACATCACTATGTCCCTTCAAACCACTGCTGGTTCCTGGGTGTTGAGCACTGTCCACGAAGGTGGTCATGGATTCTGCCATTTGACTCACACTTCCAGGTTCGTCTGCCACCATGCACCATTCTAATAAAGCCTATTTTTATTTTCTGTATGGTATGTGTACATTCTGCCCTTGAGAATCAAAGTAGCCTTCAGAAAATGAGGCATCACAGATCATCCTCACCTAGAAATGCCTACTCCAGCTTTTCCCCTGCTGCTGCTGGGAAGGACAGGGTCCCTGGGGCCCTCAGAAGCTCATGGGCATGGGTTGTGTCCTCAGCTTCCATCAGCAGAGCCCCCGTTTCTGTGCTGGTCCCTTCTGACATGCCATCAGCAGATGGCTTGTTTTCATCTCTTGACTTTTGAATCATGGTTTTCTAATTGTGTACTTGCCTAGCTTAAAGCTGTTTTAAAATACAGTACTTTCTACAGTATTTCATTCACTTAATTTTTATTATAAAGCAATCCACTGAAAGTATGACTGTACTTAAGCTTTTTAGTCTTTGTGAGCTGAGTCATTAAAGTCCTTTTTAAAAAACAATGATTTGTGCTTACTTTTCAGCATAATTCTCAACTTCAGCAGTGGTGATATGGGTGTTTGGCCTCAGGTCTATAATTACAGTGCTTTGCAGAAATGTGTTGTACCAAGTGCTATTTGTTGTAAACTTAGGTTTTTCTGCTTGTCCTTAAAACTTTGGTCAAACCATAGCACACAAATCATTAAAAAAAATCAGTGATATATCTTTGTCCCCTGGATTTATTTCTCAACAACAATACACATGGAAAAACCAATGGATCAAAGGCCTGTCTTGGAGAAATAGTACTAAGCTACGCTGGCTCACACCAATCATTTTACTGGTCCCTCATCCATGTCCCACCAGCTCTGAGTCACTCTGACCCCCTAAGGATCACTGTTTCCTGGTCTGCTGTCAGCAGCTCTGGTCAGATCATGGCATCCTCTTCTGGCTGGGGTTTCAGCACCATTTCCAGAGGGAGGGCCAAGAAGAAGTCTCAGCCATGAGGACACTGGTGACAGTAGTGAGGAGATTTAAGTGTGTAGATTCTGTGTGGATGCACCCCCTGGCAGAGCTCTTCATCCCTTCTTTCCTGGATGGCCTGTTTGTATTCCCTGTCCCCTCAGGCAAAGGACCAGCCCAGCTGCTCCCAGACAATAAACTATGAGATCAGGGAGGAAAGAAAGAAGGTGTCAGGCTCGATCATGCTCTGCCAACCCAGAGGCCATGCTCTGTGGCTACTTGTCCTTTATCTGAACAACAGCTGGCATAAACTTCTCACTTTGTGGTTGTCTGAGGACTAAGATGGCACTGAAGACTCAGGAAGAGGCCCTGAAACAGAAAAGCTGAGAACTGATGTCCAGTGGGACTTAGCCAGGCTGCAAGGTGGGGGCTTCAATTTGGAGAGTGGAGGGGAGTCCACAGCTTTCCAGACTGGCTGACCTGGTGCCCACCCATCACCCTCCTTCCTCAGGTTGCTACTGCCTGCTGGAGCCCGCTAGGCTGGTGACAGCCTTTTGAACTGTGTAATGCCTCCAAGATGGGTCTTCCTGTTCCGACTCTGTGATGACGGCCTGCACGTCACAGTTTATGAGCCTGTTAGGACAGCTTATACACACTACACACTGTTACAGTGATCTATTCTGTTTAAATGGATTCAATTAAAATACACATTGTACAACCGCAGCCACTGTTGTGCTTTTAAATTTAGTTTCTATGCCATGTTTCTACCAAGACTTCAACGTTTGTGATAGACATGGGCCTCATTTTAGTCGTTGACATATAGAAAGCCAGTTTTTCCAGCACCATTTATTAAAGAGGTTATCCTTCTTCCAGTGAACATGTTTGGCCCCTTTGTCAAAGATCAGGTAATCAAGTGCATGTGGAGTTGTTTTTATATTTTGTAATCTCATATCTGTTTTTTTCTCCAAGCACTACACTGTTTTTATCACAGTAGCTCTAATTTCAAGTCAGGGATTGTGATGCCCCCTGACTTGCCTTTATTCCTGAGAATTGGACTAAACTAAAATCAAAATGGATCAAAGATCTAAATATTAAAACAGAAACACTAAATCTGCTTGAAGATCGAATAGGCAGAACTCTGGAAAACATAGTTGTAAACAAAGACTTTATGAACAAAACCCTGATCACACAGGAAGTATCTCAAAAAGTCAACAACTGGGATCTCATCTTACTAAAAAGCTTTTGCACAGAAAAAAAATCAACAAAGTGAAAAGATAGCCACAAAATGAGTTTATGCCAGCTGTTATTCAGATAAAGGACTAATAGCTAGCGCATACAAAGAACTGAAAAAAAAATCAGAGTCTTCAAATTCAAAGAGCCCAATTCAAAAAATGCGCATCTGAAATGAGTAGACATTTCTCAAATGAAAAGTACAAAGGGCAAATAAATATATGAAAAAATGTTAAACATTACTGGTCATTTTAGAAATGCAAGTTAAAATACTGCCAAGATTCCATCTCACTTCAGAAAGAATGGCTGTTATCAAGAAAATAACTAATAACAAATGCTAGTGAGGCTGTGGGGAGAAAGAAACTCTTCTCTACTGTTGGTGGGAGTGTGGACTGGTACAACCACTGTGGAAATCAGGGTGGAAATTCCTCAATAAACTAGTATGGTAGGTCCCGATCCATCCATCCCTTCTGGGTATCTTCCCAGAAGAATTAAAAGCATGATAACAAAGCAATATATGTGCACCCATGTTTATAGATGCACAGTTTGTAATAATAGCCCAAATGTCTATCAGCTGATGAATAGATAAAAAAGATGTTTTTTAATATAATTGGAGTATTAGCCATGAAGAAAGATAAAATTGAGACATTTATAGCTAAATAAATGGACCTTGAGACTGTAATCATAAGTGAAATAAACTGAACCTGTATGTAAATATCACCTTACTTCTCTGATGTGAGAAATTGAAAATGTAAATAAGAGAAAAAATGTACAGCAGATATTGTGAAATAGGAAGAAACTGCCCAAAAAGAAAAGGGAACTAGGGAAGGGGCAGGGAGAAAGGCAGGAAGGGAAAGAAGAAATGAGAAAAGAAAGATTAAATGAAAACAGAGCTTTGTGAACAAGGAGGAGAAGGGAACTTGAAAGGGGAAAGGGGATGAGAATACAAGAGGAGCCAAGATGCACTATGTACAAATGCAAGTCCTTCGTAATGAACGTGATCATTACATATACCTAAACTGTAGCAATAAACTTAAACTACAAAAAGATCTAATCCACAAATTGTTTGTAACCATAATAAATGCAGAATTTAATAACTGAAAAAAAGCATTCAGCTTTTGACTAATAATGCGAACTTTTCACCCTACCTCAAATTCTCCCTGTGGGAGGCCAGGTCTTTGATGCTGCCTCAGGTTTCCTCCATTAAATACGACGGTGAACAGTGACGGCGGAGCATGTGGGCATCGCTGCCTCTGCTAGAACTTGATGCTCTAGATTTGACTTAAAAGCAGTTTGCCAGCACAACAGATTGGAGCCCCATTTACTGCTCTCCCAGCTGACAACATGACCACACTGTTAGGTCTGAGAAGGGAGAGGATGGGAAGAGGAAGAGGTCCGTGGAAGGAGTGGAGCGGACGGCCGTGAAAGCAGTGGGCGGTGGTGGCTTTATTTCGGGAATGCGGGGAGAGGAGACTGGCGCACTGGCCGCTGGACTCTGGCGATCTCTCTCGGACACGTGGCGTGGGGGAATATAAATAGCCTAAGCTTAGGGCAGTGCCCTAAGGCCATTAGAGATGCACAGGTATTTCATTGGCACACGTTTAGCGCCAGAAACAGGTTTCTAGGGGTGGGGATAAAGGGTTACAGTTAAATCTATAGGGGGCGGGGGAGGCAGGAGTCCCCTAACTTGGCTGCAGCTTTTTCCTGGTTAAAGTGTCCGGTCTGGGCCAGCAACTCTTTCACACACCAGCCTGGATTTGTCCTGCAACAAGACCTCTTACACTGAAGGTATTCCATGAGCAGTTCCAAAGCTCCCTTCTCCTGGGCTTTAAATGAAGCACACCACTTTTACTCCAGAATTGTGAATACATGGGGATGTGTGTGATTATGGTTAAATCTGGAGTCTATTTGGGGAACAGATTCTTCCTTCTTCCTTCTGGTCTTACTGCCCTACCTCCCTATCCCTTCTGCCTTCTGGAGTTCCCTTCCTTTTTCTTTAGGTGGATCCCAGGGAGACCCTGTTGACATTGACTGGATCTTTGGTCTAGCATCCTCTCCCTGCGCAAGCTGAGGACCAGAGAGATGGATCTCCTACCCCAGCTCTGCATCCCTCTGCACTCTGCCTTCTGGAATGAGAGCCACAAGCCGTGATAACCTGTTCCCTCTGACCTCTGATGGGCATTTCCTATATTTCTCCCAGCCATTCACCACACGCAGGGCTATGTGTACATGTTAGAGCCACACAGAGTGAAGACAGCAACAAGAAAGACTGCTCTCTGTTCCCAGCTGCCATGCAATGAGCTGTTTCTTCTCTGCCAAGTTCCACTGCTTTACTAGCCAGCCTTAGAGCTAGCTGATTATGGACTGAAACCTCTGGCTGCTGCCAGTGGGTCCTCAGATCCCCACAGAGTCCCGGTCCCCAACTCCTGCTGGATCATGAAGGTGCCCTGACACCTGGGAACAGAGGCAGTGCATCCACAGGATTCTCCAATGCCAGAAGTGGTGAATGCTGTCCTTGCACATGTCTCACATATGCCCAGATGGAGGGAGCTTCACTGCATGTTGCTCTTCCCTGTCATGGTAATGCATGAAGGGCTGGGTATCCTATTTCATGTTCCACTGTGGTAGAACCCTTACCATGAGGTGCACATCCTGGCATCTGCCATTACATGCTACCGTTGTGTTTTAAGGTTAATTTCCAGGAGTCTTAGAGAGAGTATCTGCTGAATACTGGGGAAAATGAGTCATTCTTACAGATATTCTGAGCTTCTGAGTGGTGAAGTTTCCTCTATGTGCCAGCTTCTGGTGGCTTCAGATGTCCAGTGATTGACAACCACCTAGCGGGAAATTCCAAGCCAAGCCTGCCTGTCATGAGACAGTCACAGCTCAGACACCATGACAGTTTTCATCTCAAGCTCAGGGAGGCAGGCATGGCAAACTCATTTTGAACCAAGGGGCAATGGGAATCTTCCTAAGGCCCAGTCTTCCTTAGACGTATGAAACATGTAAATGTATTATATGTAAAAAAGCCAGAATTCATTGCTGATGCTGTTTTTCTTTCTCAAGCATGGATTCAGGTATGAAGATAGATCCTGACCTGCTTGCCAGGTCAGGCTTGCTTGGACCATGACAGATGGCAGCACTCGTCCCAGGACCTCCATCCTGCTACCTATCCCTGACAATGGAAGTGAGCCAGGGCAAGACACTGGCCACTGTTTTCTTCTTGAGTCAGAAACTGAGGCCATGGAATAGTCTAGCAACGGACAAAAATAAAGGTAGCTAGGAAGTTCAAAGCCAAAACATGAAAGGCAGCAACAGGTTGACAAGGATGTGGGATGTGAACAAGTTAGGATCTTGGCTGAGCTTCTGTCTCACACACACAGAACTCAGGCGTGTCCCGAGGCCAGGAGGCAGCACAAGCCAGAAGCAAACACCTGGATTCAGATCTAGCTCCTGGTACCTCTTTTATCAGCAAGAATTGTGGGCCTCAATGCTCTTAGAATTCACTCAGTGATAAGCTCTGCAATTGTTT